CTCTACAGTATTGATTTTTACTTCCAATTGAATTGCTAAAATGCTTCATGAGAATAAGTTCTTGATATCAGCATTGGTTCATAATTTTCTACTATTCGCGGAAATATTTGGCCTGACTAGAATGCCGGTTTTGGCTTTAACTAAACTCGAGTAAAGACAAACACTTTCGTTCTCCTATTTTTTATCAATTATGGTTCTTTGAACGGGAATTGGGTTGTTCCGCTTGAAAAGTCAACTATTTCCGATCAATGACAATGTTACATGTTTTAATTTTTCCTTTTACAATTGAAATATTATTGTTTGTGATGATTTAAACTCCAGTCCCGTTAAAAACATTATTAACATTTTGCTTCAAATTACTTCAAAACATCTTTCAAAATATAACTTACCAGTATGGATGCACACTTTTAAAATAATTCTACTTTAATTAAACGTAGGAGATAATATAATCAATTAATCAATACTGTTTAGGAAATAAATTATATATATATATATATAAATTAATTTCGGATTGCAAGCCAAATCTCAAGAAAGATTTAGAATTAAAAATTTTTTAAATTTAAAAATACATAAATAGATTTAAAAAATAATTCATTCCTTTTCTCAAATAAAATTATACCTATTATTTCTAACAAGTGAAGATACCTCTTTACTGTTGAATTAAATTAAAACTCAGATCAAGAGAAATTTTAATTTAAAATGCTCTGGTGCTCGTTTGTGCATTTCTTTTCCGCATGTAAAACTATATAAAAAGGAAAAACACAAAACTTCTTTTTAAAATAGATACATTACCTTTTGAATATAAGAAAATACGGTATTTAGTTGCATATTTTCCCAATTTGCCTATTAATCTTATACTAGGTGTTATGCTATTTCTGAAGAGGCGGTTTAAAATGATAAATAAAGCACGTGAAAAAACACACGTAAAGACACACTACTGTTATTATATTACATATTTTTAAAGGACTTAACAATTTTAATAATATCCTTTTTACTTGCACAGAATACTTTTTCATTTGTGAATACATTTTACATTGTTACCATAAATCAAAAATTTCTAAATCGTATGCTGAAAAACTACAGGAAAAAGTACGCGAAGTAGAAGAAATATGCGAGTAAAACAGTAAAATAAAAATAAAGAAAACTGCAGCCGTAAAAGTTACGTTTAATTACCTAAATAAAAATGTGATATTAAATCTTATTAAACTACAAAATTTTAACATCAGCATTTTTATTTTGTATGCAGACGAAAGAAAAAATACGCTCGGAAATTTTGTTATCGTTTATATTATCGGTACCAGAAATGTGTTTCATTTTCCCCGCTTTTGATGTAATTGTTTTAGAAAACGTTTAAGAAGTACAGATAAAAGAAATTTTTAAATGAGGCATTTTGTTGCTCTAGTGAACAAGGCACTTTTTTAATGTCGAAAACAATTAAAATATTTTTATGCATCTTGGAGTGACAATAACGTATTATCGTATTTCTGATTTTGGTAATTGGTAATACTAATTGATAACAGGCACTGGTAATGTATTTAATTGGTAACATTTGATTTAACACTGGTAACTTTTAATTGGTAACAGACGAAACTTTATCACTAATTCAAAGGAAATCTTACAGCTAATGATAATAATTTACATTAAGTTCTCTTATAGGATTTCGCTTCGACTGATTTCAGCTGTTGTTAAAATGTTCTTAATTTTGAATTGAAGTATACGAAGAAGCTAAAAGAGAAAAAAATCATTGATTTTATTGTTGCTTCAAGCAATCAGTAATAAACGGACGCTAAAAATGAACAAGTGAATGGTATTCAGTATTTGTGTTGCTGAAAATCATTATCTTTCAGTCAACATCTTTAGCTGCTTTCTGCGTAAGTATAAACTCTTTGTTGTCGCGTATTTAATGAAATTACTGGATATTTTTTGTCTAATATAGCATGAAATCATAGCATGGAAGTCACAATAAGCACTTTCAGAACTTCGCGTGACTTCTGCACACATAACTGCATTTGTCGCCGTGGTGTCTAAAAGACTTTAGATTCTAACTGCACACTAATGATTCAGTTTAATAGATAGAACGTTTGTGTGATGTATTCCGTAATGTTAGAGTATTAAGCTGCATGAGAATCACGTACTGTTTCTTTCCTAGGCACAAAAAATAATGATATAAACTAAAAAGATAAAGCAATTAAAGTGTTTTTCTTTGTTATAGAATGTACACATTTTGCATTAAGAAGGAATTACATTTAGAATGCATTTTCGCTGGCTTTTGAGCACGAATATATTTTCGATTAGAGAAGATAAGATATGTACTTCGTTGTATGCGTTAGAATTGCGTGCATTGCATTATATATCATTATTAGTTTTTGTTTTTGTTTATAAACAAAAACTAAAACTGCATACAGTACAGCCTCACAAATATGGATTAACAATGATTAACCAAAGTTTAGGTATGAACTAATTATAATAGACTACAAAGTTGGTGTGAAATCATTAAACAGGTATATATATCCCTACTTTCTTTTATAGCTAATATTATATAATCCTGGAAACATGCTTGTAATTCATGCCACTTTTCTGAAGTATTTTAATATGATGTAATTTCAGCAACTTTAGGGGTAATCGAGTTTTCGCGAATTTTAGAGGATTCATTCCATTTTTCATTTACTAGATTTTTTAGATATTTTCACGAATGAGAAGTAAACCTGCTAATTTCGGATTTTTTCTTACCGCCTTTTAATTTCTGTTAGAGTTGTTGATTATTTTTACACTGAAATAGATTTTATGCTACTTTCAGCTAGAATTCCTGCAAAAATATGCTACAAAATAATCCTTCTTCAAGATTCAAATTAGAAAATAGAACTTTCAATCACATTAGGAGATCACGTTAGGAGATGTGATTGAAAATAGAACTTTCAATCACATCTCCTAACTCGCGATAAACTGTTTTTCCGAAGTTCCATAACAGTCAGTTGCTCTGTCATTTTTTCGACAAGCAATCTGAATGATCTGTTTCTAAAAACATAACTTCTCAATGGAGGAAAGCTACATATCGGTATTATACTACTTAAAACACAGCATTCAGTTAAATAACAATATTGATTTAAAATAACACTAATTACTTTTCGGGAATTTGATCAATTTACAAATATAAATTTCAGTTAAACAAATATCAAGATATTTAATATTTAGCTTTAGATGTTGTTTAATTTAGTGGTATGATTTTGGTACCACTAAATTAAACAACATCTAAAGCTAAACATTAAATTAGCGTTCACCGCGAAATTTTTAGTGTGAATTTTAGGTAGTGAAAGCTTTGCAGATTTTCCCTACTTGCCTAGCAAAATTCTCCCCCCTCCCTCTTTCCTGCAAAAACATTACTACCCTTCTTATATTCATATTCTTTCATCAGCACTAGCATTCCATGATGTTGTCTTGTTCATGTATTTTATGAAAGAATGTTTGCCAGAGCTTCAAGAAGGTTGGATTTCCATTTCCACCCCAATTTTGAATTGACAGGCGGCGAATTTCAGAGAATTATCTTTATTACTATCATTATCATTACTACTGTTTGTGGACTTCACACTGAATGCATCTTGATGTCTTCATATGATAGAGTGAGTAAAACACATAGTTACTCAGTGCATATGTATAAACAGTTCACGTGCATATTTCTAATTATTTTACGACTGAAAATTTATTTTGGTGGTCATTGCTTCTCATGAGCGCCCTAGTTAGTTTTTACGATATTTTAAAGCCATAAATATTGTACTAAATTGTGTAAAAATGTGTTAATCACATTTTTCAGTTTCTTATATTTTTTTCTCAGATTTGGAATGGATGTTATTTTAACCTACAAATTTACTTACAAACAAAAGCTAAATAGAAATAAATGTTATATAATAATAGTTTGAAATTATCAGTGATTTAAAATTAGTCACAGAAACCACTTTAGTTTGGTGTAGATTTTGAAAAAACCTTCGTATATTTCGAGGATGGTCATGTGCATAAGAAGGAGGGGAGGGGGATATTTTCCTGTAAATTGCTCCTGAAGAAGAAGAGGGATGTGTTCATGAACTCTTTCGAAACTGATTGCATTTAATTTAAAACCTATATGAAACTAAAACTGCTTCTTGGTATAATTATAAATATCATATTGTCGTGTTTTCTTCCAATTTGAACTTGAATCTTTGTTTTATTCCAGATACATTCTTTAATATCAGGTAAACAAATAATACTACGCGGCCCGCTACGTAAACCCACTTTCTTGAGTAAAGAATTCGTGACCTTCTTGTATAAAGTAGCTATCCCCTATCGATGTAGATTACATAATTACAAAATAATGAATTCGGGGGGGGGGAAACGAAATTAAAAATTTACCTCTCTTAATTCTAGCCATCAAAAGATTTGATATTTAAATAATACCATTTTTTTTTTTATTTTTTATTTTTTTTTTTTAAATTTTGACAGTAAAATTACTTGGGATTTTTACATAAGTTACGTTTTCCCGGTACTGTAATCTGTTTTTTATCGGTTTGAAACTAGACAGCTTATTATTTAAATTTTGTGTGATTAACTATATCACTTGACGGATATAAATCTTACTATAGCGCATTGGAATGCAAGCAATTTTTAGCTGTTTAGGTGATCGTGCTTTATAATTCGCCTGTATATTTCCTAAATTCATAAATTTTATGTTTAAAATTAGCTGTTTATCCAAATTTTTTAAATTGCGATTGAAAAACTGATACATTTACTTTTTAAAATCATTTTAATGCAATTGTTTTTAATCTCAGTAATCTGGCTTTTTATGCAAATTGAAATTTAGACTAGGCAGAATACAATCTCTGAACAGGACCGCCGCTTGGTGGCGACGAGTGCAGGCATGCTTTCTGACGTCACAGCTTCGCGTCATGAAGTGGAATTTTTCTATCTCTTCTCCACGCCCCCTTTTTTCTCCCCCTGCCGCTGGGCCGCCGTCCACATCAAAGCCGGCCTTCTCTCAGAACGCCGAGGTGCCTCGACCAAGCGAGAGGTGAAAGATCCGTCGTCTTCTGCTGCGGAAAAAATAAAACAAAAAATAATCGCCGCTTGGACGTCGACTGCGAAAGTTGAGTCAACCACCTCGGGAGGCAAAGTGTGCTTTTCGGCGTTTGTTAGGAAAAAAAAATGTCCCTTAAATTTTGGGTTTTGTGACGGATTATGTGCAAATGAAATGTTGGAGGCAAAGGATATTTGTAGAATACCGTTATGGAATGTTTGAAGACGTTGCAAACAATCGCGCTGTTCGCTTATGGTCGGTGTTTGGATTAATAATCTAGTAATATGTTTTCTAAATATCGATATTTTACTTAACTATTATCGTAATCTTTGTAGAGTAGTCTTCTACGGCCTATGCTAGTTGGAATAGTAATGAGATTTATCTTCAACTTTTGCCTGGTGTTTTGCTATTTCGTAATTTAGTCGAGTCTTTCACCAAGAACTCTGTAATTGTCATTGTTAAAAGAAATCGACTTCTTGGACGATTTCGGACATATTTTTGCTATGGCAGAACTCTTAGGCTTCTAACTATATGTATATATAACTGCTCTTATATAGCTATATACTCGTAGTAGACCGAAGTGTTGTGAATTTTTCTTGTCAACTTTTGCTATTTGTGTATGTACAGCGTAACTTTAAACCGCGAGCTTTTTCAACAAAGGATTTTCTATTCCCTATGGATGTTTCGTGAAAATTTTTGAACTCCTCATCTTTTGTGATATTTCAAGATTATACGTAACATTTCATATTCTCCGTTTGGGACTCTACTGGGTTCTGATTTAAAAACCCATCTGCTGGAAAAAAAAAGGTAAGACTTTTTTAATTTTTAAAGCTAAAATTTCAATGGAATCAAATGTTTTTATTTCTTGCTATCGAGAACTACATTAAAAAAAAAAAAAAAAAAAAAATCTGATCTCGCGGATCTTTTTTCGAAATCTAATTTCAGTGCGCGCATGTAACTGCGTTATATTTTAGAATACAGTATAAAAGTATTTATGCTTAGAAAATGTCACTAAAACATGGAAAACTGGTTTTAGGGATAGGAAGTTTGAAAAGTCGGAAGAATTTCGGACAAATTTAATGTGTTAGGTTATGTTTGATTATATGATTCAGTTAGAGTATCTTCGACGTAGAATCTTATTGATTTTAGCTTTTAAAGACGTTGATGATATTAAACAAGCATAATGCATTGTTTGAAACAAATTTAGAAGATGCGTAATGCTTCTATTTTTCGTTTTTCCGCAGTTGGAAGAATTCTTTCCTGACGGGATTCTCGCGCTCTGAGAAAATTAGCTGTGCGAAATAGAGGTCGTTAAAATTTTGCTGCTTTTTGGATTTCGCATTCATTTGTGGCTTGTATAATTTCGGCATTTATTCTGAGATATTTAGAAGTGTCATAGACGAAACATTTAGAAGTGGCTTAGACTGCAAAGCCCGTACTTGTATTCTTTTCGAATTCAACCACCTTAAAGTATTGTTTGGATACGTGAAACCATAGCGTTATTGTTTATAAAATTTTCAGAGTAAGCTAATAAGGTGGCGAATGACGTCGTCTTTTTTTTTGTTTCAGTAGAAAAAGATTCTTGATGAAATCATCGAATTTTGTGAAGAGGCTGTAAATCCATGAGTGATTTTGTTCCCGCCAGTGCTATGAGGACGTAGTTTTTAGTGAAACAGTTTTGAGATTTATCTTCGAATTCAGTAGCTTTTTATTCACTAATACGGTAATAACATTAACTATCGCATTATAATTCTGTTGGACGCAGGTATTGGCGATTTCGAGTTTTATTGCACCGTGCAATATTTGTAGTGGGGTCTTCGTAAATTTCCCGTAATAGTAGTTTCATTTCTTCCGTGGTCGCTATAGTGTAATGCACAGTTTAAGCGATTATCCTTAACTTTGACAGCATTAGTTCCTGCTGCTGTGATTAAATTCCAAATTTTTATCAAATAATAATAATAATTTTTGTTGTTTTTTTTGCGTGCAAAATATGTTGTTTGAAGCTACATTACAAAGAACTTGTTTTATAATTACTTAACGGTAGCGTATGAGTAGTAACATGGGTCTCCCAAAAAAAATTTCTTTTTTTTTTTTCCCCGGGGGACATCAAATGGTGGATTTTCCAAATACCGCCACTTTATAGACTTAGTTAAGAGTTGTTAATAAAATGCTACTTTAGATATGGAGAAAGACTTGCTTTGTAATATAAATACTATTTGGTGTTTTAAAATAGGTATTATATTATTCATTTCGATTGAATAAACGCAGTTGAGTTTTTTACTCGTGTTTCTTACAGTTAACGGAAAGCCTGCATTTCGCAGTTCATCGATTACTAAACGAAAAGTTTAACGACGACGTTAAAACAGTTGTTAAACTAAAAGATTTTTTGTGCAATTGCCATTTTCGGAAATGGGAAGAAAACTTTTATTTTATTTTCACATTATTATTATTATTATTATTATTATAAAGACAAACGTGAAAGCGGCATTAAGAAGAGGGACGAGATGCATAAAGCTTTTTTTCTAAATGAATGTCAGGCAGCGATACAGTGTTGCCAAATGTTAACATTTAAGTAGGTGCTTTTCCTTCAGCGTTAGTTTGGAATTAAAGAGCTTCGTTTAGATGCGTAAGTAGTTCAAAAACTGTTCTTGTCCGATATTATTTTTTAAAAATTCTTTAAAATAATTTCTCTCTTCATAACCACATTTATAATAGAAACTGTTTAAATAATTTAATGTTGTATAGTGCTCAGAATTATTTTAAGCATATTATGCTTTCGGCTGAAATTCTTAGAGATGAGTTTATCGAAAAACATCAGTCTGGTCTCGAACGTGAAATATTGTGAAAAATGTTAACTGCTTCCCTTTTATTCAAAGAATTTTGTTCCATTTTCTTGAAAATATTCTACACGGTATATGAAATGCAATAAATTTTTTTGCTATCATTTTAACCGATCCTCCTGGAGAAATATTCTTGAATTGAAAGTTCTCCTACAAAATGTTTTTCGCGCCGTGAAACGAAATATATTCAGACAATAGCTTATACTATATGTTTCTTTTCCCTTTTCACTAACAGGCAAGCCGTTTTTATCAGACTTTTCATTTCTGCCATGTAAATATTTCCTTTTTTTTATGACAGGAAAACGATAACATGTATTCTGCAGGTAAAAAGCAAAACAAAGGGGAAAAGGTGCGAGTTTTTCTTCATTGGTTTTGTTCTTAGCATTTTCTCAGTTGTTTCTGTTTATTTACAGCTTACCGAAATTTCTGCGAAATAGAAACTGCCATTAATTATGTAATTTATCTAAATTTGTGGATCCACTTTCAGAGTTGATAAATATGCGTGATTTCTTCAGTTATACATTTGGGTATGTTTAATTGATTCATTTCATTAAAGGTCTATAGGTAATTCTAGCTATTATTTTGTTGAAAGTTATGAAAAGTGTGCCCGCTGCACCTTCAGTTTCACCATTCTATTCTTTTGACCGTATACATTTGTAACTAGCATCCATATATTTGACGTATAATCTGCGTTTTCTTTTTCTTTTTATTCTAATATGACTCAAAGCTAAAAAATATGTAATCTGCATCTAAAAGTATAATGTGTGGGGGAAAAAATTCGATCTTCCTGTCCTCTAAGACTAGGCTGTCATACATATTACAGTAAAAGCAAAAAAAATCGGGATTCTCGTATTCTTATAAGTTATTATAAAAAAAGTGAGGATTCCACCCATGATTTTATCCAAATTTAAAAAACTTCCAATTTTTTTTTATACTCAAAGTAGGTTTTCTGGACTAAAGGGTAAGAGTCTTGAATTGTAGTATAATTTTCACCTCCTCGTATTTTTCGATGATTAGGAAGCTTTCTTGAAAAGATGACGTAGTTTTGTTCTCATTTTCTTTGGCTATGGATTTTAAATTTCTGTTTAAAATGTTTTGATATTTTTCGCTTAGTGTCCCCTGTGTTTTTAATGGTGGTTTTATCCTATCAATAAAACATACTTGTAGTTTGTGTTAGCTTCCGTTTATCCCGATTACGATATTTTATGCTTGAAGAAATAAAGCGTCTTTATAAGATATCCGTAGCAGTAATTTAAATAATAATGTGTGCTTTCCTATTAGAATTATGATTTAACTGAAAGCAAGAATGTAATGTAATATAGCGGAATATTTTTGCTCCTGGAAAAGGAGGTATCCGTTTCAGATTCCCTAAAAATGTACTTATTTCTAAACTCATTGTAAAGTTGAAAATCTAGCTTAATTTTAGTTTGCGTGAAAGATTAAAACTCGCGTAAAACGGCTGTAATGTGTAAACGTTATGTACTTGCTGATTGTGTTTGCTATTACATCGATAATATTGGAATTAATATTGGATCACTGGCATTTTTGATATCTCTTCGCATGAAATGAGTCATGAGTATGTAGGAAGCTCTCATACTTTCCTTTATGCAGATATAACTATAATGCACTTTACTGTAATAAAAATGTTCCAGTTCTCAGCCTACATAAAAAAACGGCGAATGAAAAGAACAACAACATGTTGAAGGTAAATGCGTAGATAGTTTGCTTAGCCTTATAAATAAAATAACACATTACGATGCGATCTTTATATGTCTAATAAGTTATACGTAAATAATGTCAGATTAGAAATGAGGAGGTTCGCCTTCCTTCCCTGTGCTGCGCGCCACAAAATGGCGTGAAAGCACAGAAAAACTTTGAATTTTTTTTTTTTTTTTTGAAAACTAGGTCTTGAATTAGAAAAAAATCAGTTAAGAGAACTGTTTATGATTATAATGCTGTCTTTGTTAATAAATATCTATCTGTTGAAAAGAATAAACGCTTTATTCCGAAATTCCGATCACATTCAGTTCACAGTGTCGATCAAAAAAAATTCGCGAATCCTGTAAATTTATTGAAAACCGCAATTCAAGGAAAAGTAGTTAAAAGAAATTTGATATCAGTGAAACTCTTCGGCGATTTTTATTTATTGAATGTTACAAACACTTAACGTTGCATCTGGGACTTATCGATTATAATTGCTTTCTTAGTTGCTGTATTTGTCGATAAAACGTTATTTGTCGGATGCTTTGAAGAGTAAAGGGTCTGTCATTGATTTTGCTTCAGCGAACGGCCGGTTATTTACTTTTGTTTCGTTAGAATCTAGGATTTCCAATTATCTCGTGTAGAAAGGTAAACGGCATTATATTTCTCGAGGATTGATCTCTTTAAAACTCTTTTCTTTTGTTATAAATGGTTAGTATAATATTTGGAGCCGCTTATATGTAAAATTGAAAATTTTTAAGCGTTTAAAAAAAGGGCAGCGCTCAAGTGAGTTTCTTTAATTGCTGTAGTCTCATGTAAACACCCGTGTTAAAAAATTCAAGTGAATGTTGATCCCAGTTGTTGTAAGTAATGTTGATAAATATAACTGAACTGTTAAGTTCACAGCATTTCTAAACATTTTAAGTGTTGGAGATATGACTTTCTCATTAGTAGAAACCTGCAGTCGTTATCTTTGGCAGCGTAACTAATCTTGTTTTTGGAACTGTTTCAGTTATATCTGAAGATATTAGTATTTACTGTTAGAAGAAAAATAGACTGATTTGAAAGCATATCTTCAGAAATAGAAACTCGGAAGATTTCGCATCACAACTCGTAAGGCCTCTCGACATATCAATGTGTCGCGAAGCATTATGGGAAGAGATATTATGTTAGCATAATGTAGATTAAATTCAGAAAGTCACGATTTAATCTAGAAAGCTCCCTTTCGGCAAAAGGAATGAAAGGAAATACTATAAAGAGCCAGAA